CTGTATGTTGGTCGGGGGGGGGGAAAATAGCGTAATCACAAAGCTGGACAAAAGCATCACTACATTTAAAGTATTCATACAGTAACTCGTGATTTGGGATCATTTCACTTTGTTTACACATTCAGTTCCTTTTCTTCACAGACATATCCAAGGATAAGACATACAGTACAATGGGATTTTGGCAAATGCCAGTACAATCTACAAAGAACAGATGATGCAATTTTAGGTGTATTTTATGGCAACTATGGTTGTCTTAGAGTTTGGGCACCAACGCATGAATTGTCATGTGAAGTACAATCATTTAGGTCTGTATTTGAATATGGAAATAGGCAATGAGCATTACAAAAATTCTTAGGAACTCACTCAGGGAGTACATAAACTAAGCCCCGCCCAGGATAATGACTGATGCAAGGGGTATGTTTCTCTCTGTTCTCAGATAGCAAACACATGAAGCACTCTGCTAAAGAGTGTCATCATACTGTGACAGAAATTACGTGGCGGGTTGTTTATCATCTGCGACTAAAAAAAACCAGAATGAACCACTGACTTATCTCAGAGATTAGACATCAAAAGTCCCCCAAAATGAAGTAAAATAAAAACATGTAGAAACTGATAATGCAATTGCACAACTAAGAAGGTAACCATGATAAATTGTTTTGCAAGCTAAACAGAGTTAATCCCCAGTCACCAGTCAGCGTGTGCCACTCCTCGTTTCATCTTGTCAAGTACATTTGTGTCAGTGTAGGTTGGACACTTGCAGCTAAAGATGAAAGGATCTGACGCTTCTCGTTACAGTCGACGTATCTGTAGGAATAATCTGACTATTCAGAGCATTCATGCAACCTTTTGAGTTGTCCTTCTGATGTTTCTCAAACATCTGAGTTGCAGTGATAGTGGCATTACTCATTCGGCTGAACTTTTAGTACACTGGAATTGGTTGCACTTTATTTCAAAATTGCCCATTTTGCATTTTCCAGCTAAATATTTTGGAAGGGGGGAAAAAAGCATTGAAGTATTTTCATTGGCCTAAGAGCTGTTAGAATTAATGTGATGTGACGTCTCTAATACTGCTCAGTTGCACCATCTAATGGAAAAACATATGAAGGAATCCTCTGAGAACTACAGTGCACAAATGTTTTCCCACAACAAAACCCTTGGCGACAATCGGATCTTCTGCATGCGTCACCTCACCCTAAAGCCCACTCCTCCACTTAGGCAAAAACATTGTTCAGAGGAGGTCTCCTTTCACGTCTTCAACTCTAAGCCTCCCAAAGTGATTCAGATGATTTCAAAGGAAAGCCTGACAAATTTGTGTGCAGGCTTCCCGCTCACACATCGCTGATTTAATTACTGGTCCTCCACATTAATGCACAACCCAGTATGCAAAAGTATTCTATCCTAACAAGGCATGTTTTTATTTACAAAAATGTCTTGACTGCTTGAAACTGTTCTGTTTTTAAAAAGGCAGGAAAGCTTCCCTTTATGTGTTTGGATAACTAAATGCAACTGGGAGACTATCCAACAACAACAACAGTGCATGTTACAGAGCAGAAGCTGATCAAAGCACAAGTAAATAAGACAGAAAGAACATAATGGAAAGACACACCACACAAGGATTACGATGAGCACAACAGTACATCACCCTGAAGAAAACAAACCAGACCTGACATTAGTGCAAATGTTTTTCCTCAATATCCATCCAGTCACGACTGACTCCACATACAGTAGATTATTTGTCTGTGCTCTGAGAACAGCAAAGCTTGAAAATGCCAAACACTGAAGACATTTCTAAGCCAGGAGAGAATATTTGGGGGTGAGTACATTTATGAAGGACAGATGATGCACTTACAAGTGTAATGGAAAAACTGACATACATGATGAAAGCAAGAAACAAAACCTTGACTATTTAAGTCTGAATTAGTAGGGTACAAGTGTACTTTCATACTGTGACAAAAATACATTGCCCATCATGTGTGGTCAAACCAGTACTACCATACTGTTTCACACAACATTCAATAGTTTTATATGTAGTCCTGTCATGTGAATTACATTATGTATTCATGTGCTAATGAATGATAAAGATTTCCTCAAATTAAAGTGAAAATACTTCTGCCAAGTCATGCTCAGTGTTTATTAAAACATGATAGACTAGCCCTGAATAATGACCGCATTTTAAGTTTATAAAATGTGTTATCGTTACAAAATGATTTTAAAAATTGCAGATTATACAGGAGTAGAACAAAGATTAAGCTCCAATGAAATCACTGTGTTGTGAGATTT